TGTGTGAAGGAGAGAGAGAGAGAGGGAGAGATATGACCGTGATATAATAATTTTCATATAAAGTTATTTTCAAAACGATAACAAACTTTACTGTGTTAAGTTTGGACACTGGTTCTTCAGGCCATCGTCAGACGTGCGGTAGGTGTACAGAACACTTACAATTTTAAATCTATCTCAAAATGGATAACGTTTGGTCATTTGGGCCAATAACTGCCTCTGTTGTTTGGCGTCTCGTCCGGATTGGCTGCTCTCTTTTCCGTGCTACTACATCCAATTCGATTTGTCGATTAATGTACGAGTCATTGGAGTTTATGGCCTCTAAAAATCCGCGGCCTTTCTTAGCTGGGTAGGAGCCAACAATGTAAGTTTGGTCCCAGTTTCTAATGTATGCATGTGACAAGTGGTCTTGCCTCTTTACTGCAAATTGGTGTACATGAAGGTGTGTAGAAGTCGACTACGCTGTTTTAACACAATATACTGTGTTTCAGCGCCCCAGAGAATCTTGTAAACGATTTTTTCTGTCCAAATAACCAGCCCTATCCTTAGGGTGTACAAGCTGGTTTCGCAGTGTAGTCGTTGTTTTGTGCGTCACTTGGAGTTGGTGTTTTTCAGTAGGTGCGGACACGTACTAAATTTACGGAAGTGTTTGCTAGCTTTTTGGATTAAGCGCTTGATCGGAGCAATTTAGTTCCTTTTCCTTTTGTGTTAACTCCTGTCGCCTCACACATCGACAAACAAACTCCCTAGGGAAACCCTTTTTGAAAAACAATTAAACAGCCAATTCGCGTTTGATTTGGTGAAGTTTGGTGCTGGAACAGTGAACTTTTGCCTGATTGATTGATTAAGGTTTTAACAGTACGCCGCTTGTGAGCGACAGGGTGATTTCCCTCGTAATGTAGAATGACATCCGCATACGCCCTTTTACGGTAAACTGATGGTTGAAATGTCCCGTCAGTCTTTCGCTGTACGAGGACGCCAAGACAAGGGAGTTCACCGTAAACTTCTTTTTCGAACGTGGAGGTGATTCCTGCCATCGTTGAGCTAATAGCATTGCTCAGTGTTTCCAGCTGGTCTCTTGTACAATAATATATACTAAGATAATATATAATATACCTTGAAAGCCGGCCTCTCGGTGACTCCGAAGTACGATAGGTTTATATCGCATGACCTTCAATGTTAAAACCCCACTGAAGTCATCATTCTTAATCAAAAAGCACGGTTTGCGTCCAAACTCATATTCTATAGTTTTACCATAAGGAAATCAGTAGGACAGGGTGGGGTAGATAGGTATGTTAGAAAGAGAGAGCGGAGACGAAGTCACTGCTGGTCAAGTCTTCTGCCTTGTGATTTGACACCTTTAGATAGAAAGGATAAATAACTATATTATGTAAATGTTCGACACCGGGTCCCCAGGTCGTCTTCAGGCGTACGGTGAGTGCACAGGATATTTAGAACTTCTAAGAGCATCAAAAATCAGATAAGGATGCAAACTACTTAAGTAGTCATTTAATTAAATGCTTCACTTTTAGGCGGCTCAAGAGACGTGCACTCAAAAGCCGACCTCTTGGCATACCTGAAATATGATGAAATTATGATGTACAATGGTTAATATTACAACCTCCCACTGAAGTGATCGTTTTTAATCAAAAAAGTTGTTCTGAATCTTGGTTAGCATTCCATGAGATCGGTCAGTGGCTAATTAGCCGTGGGTTCCAGCTTATGGAGAGAAAAATAGCAGGTAGCTAGGAAACCTTAAGCGCAAAACAGTGAAGATTCCATTGACGTGAGAGGAGACGAAATTGCAGGTGGAATTAGTGTATGAAAAGGGTTGTGAAACACTTTCTGTAGAATATGGATACAGCCACGCATGAAGAGAATAATAAAAGAAATGTACAGTATTCACACACTGAGTTTATCGTGAGTGCAGTGTAGTTAGGTTGCACAAATCATGCTGAAACGAAAGCCAGCTTCCTAGGACACTATTTTCTGTGAGGCATAGGAATAGACCTCCTCCCCTTGCACTAAATTCAAGGAAGTGCAAATATTCCCCAGCCTAAACTCCAAACTTAACCCTAACCTAAAGTCTGTGTACGGCCTCCAAGTATGGAGCTAATTACCGCGTGTACAGTCGCATTTTAAATTTGAAAAAAAGATCGCAGCGCATCTAACTGATTCTTTACTGCTCTTCAGTTATCTTTCTAGCTTTACTTAAAAAACCTAGTCATTTTTAAACGTTTCCTCTGAATTCTCTCTTCAGCTGCCGGTGATTCCTATGATTTTATTTAGCTGACATTATAATACAGCGACATTTTAAAACGGTCAAGCAATTTCCTGATCACATCCTTAGTGAGGTCAATCAGCCTCTCCACTGTGAACTAATGGCTGCTAAGTCTTCCCGTACTATGCGCAGAGGATTCCGTCATATGTTTTGCCGTACATCGACATATCAGCACTCTATACTCCCTTTCCTAGCACGATATCTCACGTGTGAAGAAACGGAAATTGAGAATTTGAGAGCCGACCTGTCGCTATAATAGATGTGGATATCGTGTAAACCCTTAACTTTGACCATTCTATGACCTTTTACCTTTGACTATAACTCCTTACTTACCTTTTCCTTTGCTCTCCGTGAAGTGAGCCATTTTTTGCTGAAAGTTTTTGGGTATTCCCTTCAAAAATAAAGGATTACCTCTCTAAAAAGGGCTTCCAACCGGAGAATCTGAGGAACCGAATCAAACCGCCTTATAGCGTAAACCCACGTGACAGAGAACGTCTGTATTCAAATCCAAAATCTGCTAGTTTGCCTCTCGACCCGCTTTCTAGAGACAAACCGAACGGTTGGCAGGTCCTGGGTGATTTACTCTACCCGAGTGACCAATTAACTAGAATAATTTTCTGCCCATTAAACCACCGTAAACGTTGCGCATGCGCCATCGCTTCGCATGAAAGAATAAACCAGCGCAAACGGTTGTGCTAATGACGTCAATCTACCGGGATTGGACAGTTGTCGCACGCGAGTGACTACGCTAGATGCGACATTTCACTTAAAAAATACATGGCAGAAAATATTAACGTCACGGACGGAGGTTGGCTGTTTTGGTACTCGACCTGTCAAAAACT